TGATCTACATTATTATTATTTTATTCAAGTCTGTACTTCGACGAATATAAATGTTTTATATATACTTAATATTCTATTAATTTTCGTATTCATTTTTGGGATAATGTCCCATGTTTATATACTTCCCAACAAGACAAAGCTAAACTATCTTATTTATCTACCCTTCGCTTTTCAGGTCTCCAGTTTTCTGGACTCAAAACCAGTTGATAGCTCGCCTACAGCATCCGTTTCATTAGTCTCTCCAACTCCAGGATCTTCATCTAGCGATTCCCTCATCTCTGGACGGCCCATCACAAATTTAGCCAACGCTTCTAGTTCCTTGAATAATTTCACATGTAATAATACTGGCAAATCACTCAGTCGTCTTTCTTCATTCTACCTCCTTGGTTCTTCACACAGTCATTTTCGTGAGCCTGGACTTGAATCTGGCCTAGTTGATCAAACTAAGCCCTATCCTCAGCAGGCTGTGGGCAACCAAAATGATTCATGCTCTCTTGATTCGAATCAACTGGATCGTATTATCAAGAAGCAGGAACGGATGATTAAGAATAGGCAGGCCGCCAGTTTGTCCCGAATGAGGAAAAAAGAAGTAAGCCCGTTCAGCCATAGTAATATATCGATTATATTAACCTTCATGATTACCTTTTTTATTTGGGATAATGAGATTTGGTTACTTTTAAGTTCCTTTATTTTTCGCATACCTTATACCTCTACTACGGATGTTTTTTGATATGTAAAAGAAATTAACGCTGCTTAAAATGTAACTTCAGCTACACATCGACGCTGGCAAAATAAATAATCTTCAAGCGATGGCAGTCGGGCGATTTTTATTTGATTACAAACTAGGGTCATTCATGTATGCGTATTGTATCAATGATTTCGTTTGCCAGTCATTAATTTTTTTAATCATTCCTATTGATTCTATAGCTTTATGCACATAGTATTCTAAGGCAAGTATATTTTAATCCTGTGTGATAAATTATACAATCCTTTTGTGCTTTCATTGTTTATTACTTATAATCATCATTCTATATTCTTATTTATGAAACTTTGATGAGGATTTTCAATTTACCCTATAGCCTCATTTTCTCAACTAGTCGAAATTT